TTAATTAATGAATTAATTTTTTTTTTGTGTTCATGAATATATCTGAGAATATTCCTTTTCAATACTGAAGATTGAGATTAAGCAACTCAAATATTTTCAAACTGGTTCAGTTATTGTTTATATCTTCGATATTTTTATTAATATATAATTTGGAAGTGATATTAATTCGACAACAGACACATTTGATAATTATTATTATTCGATTACCTACCACTACTACTTATATTACTACTACTACTACTACTACTTTCACAACCACCCTGTATAGTTCAGGTTTTTGCATAAAATATTGTCATCACGAATTATCAACTTCCTCACCAAGTTTTACGGGATTTCAATCATTCGATGGATATGAATATCAGGACGGGTGCGGTTTCATGGAAACTTGAACATCTTGTGTATAATATGTAGTCTGATTCAAGAAATGCAATTATGATGAATCGATGTTGATATTAGTATACTACAAAATGTCTAAAAATCAATTGATTTCAACCGCTCACTTTCTCGGAAATAATTGGAACATTTGCTATTTTTGGACCAACTCTGTATATCGTGAGTACGTGCAGATATCATGGAACTCTATAGTGGATATTCACCGGCCACATGGACAAACAAAACGTAGTCGATTTGATTTTGGTATTCAAAAAAGAAACTTCACAATGGCCATTCGAAATTTTGAAAAAGTCAACTTCAGCACCCTGTATGGTCCAAACTATTGAATTTAGAGTGTTGATAATTGGAACATCTGATCAGTATCACGAGTTCTACGATATATCCAAAATTCGAGAAAATTCACCGAAAGCCAATTTCCCCCCTATTGCGGTGCGGGGTCCTTTGGTAAATTTTCAACTGGCTCTATCAACGCACTCGTTAGTCCTACATTCATGAGCAATAACAATTATAGAAAGTCCGAAAATGAAACCACAGAGAAACTGACTACTTGAATTCTTTACAAGTGAAGATACCATTTGATTGGACTAATTCTCAGATTTGAAACGTTAGTTCTGAAAATCGAATAGGCGTCCCCGCGATAATGTTTTCGAATATATCTTGTTTGATACGAATTGCAAACATTCTAAGAATGATGGTTAACATTTATTTGAGTTGCCCAAATACGAGACGACATTTAAAATTTTCGTTGAAGCTTCAAATTCCAATATTTATTTCATGGAATACATTGATTGACATAATATTGATATAACTATACACAATGAGCATTATGTGCCTTTGGTGTTACGCCAATGTTAGGGATTCAAACAATAATATGTCTGCACTCGTTCAATGATGGGGAAAAATGACATTCCATCTCTTATAAAACATATTTGTATCTCATGTATTTTGTTCAGCTTTTTAACAAGACGACAAGTGTGTCCACACTCTTCAAAGACCACAAAATGAGATGTTCGAGCCACCCTAGTCTGAGGTAGAAGTAAATTGCTTATGACTAAAACTTCATGGTATAAGTACCTAGTAACATAATATTATCACGATGAGAGTATTTCTTTGACCTTCCAAATCTGGATGATTTCGAAGTATATCAGTTTATACAACTAAAGTCGTTATTTCGATTTGATAAGATTGCAATATGCACTCATACACCTTTCTAACTTTCTTCCTTCACTTGTTCACTTCAGATCTTACAATAACAAATGAAGGATAGAAAAAAATGGTGGACCCATATAGAAAACACATCAAGAGATAAAAAAAATGCCGATTCTCGAAAAAATGATGCCAATAAAATGCACAGGAAATATTTAATTGTACCAAGGGCGTCGCCAGCCAGAAAGCTGAGGGGGGGGGGGGCACCATAAAAAACAAAAAAAAATCAAATAAGAAAGGTTTAACAGGAAAAATCAAAAAACGGATCAGAATATATATAGAAAATCAATTGAAGAATAATTTGCTTTGCGAATTATTTGGTCACTTTGTTGACGAAAGCGTTCAATGCCAGGCCTTGAGTCGAGCTTCAGACATGGTGCTCCTCAACTTAGTTTAGATTCTCCTAAGGCTACTAAATCACCTTTCAACTGTACAAGCCTTACAAGGTAAAGCAACGAGAATCTTCAAAGCCTTTATAATTTCAAGAACAAAATCTGCTTTCGAGAGTTCTCGACTCAAAGTGAGCATTATCATAAATAATATCACGATGTTCTGAATATTCGAGATAATTTTATCGCTTTCACGAAATTGTGTTGCCGAGCAACACCACGAGTTCGTATAGCTGCCCCACCCTGCCCCTCTCTGGCGATGGCCTTGCATTGTACTAGAATACTAGATTGAAACAGCAATGAACATGTACTTTTTCATCACCGAAAAATAATGCCAGCTATTGAACCAATGGTCAATTGAATCGCCAGCTATGTCCTGTTTGCTAGGAAGAAGCTACTGTGTTTGCAAAACATGGTCGTGTTATCAAGAATGCTGTGAAAATCTTATCGTTTGTGGAGTGTCTCACAAATAAACTCGATCTCAATTGCAGAGAATGCAGTGGCAGAACCGTATGCAGCACACCATCAACCAACACCAACACATCCAGCTGCACCAACAACACCCGCCCAACGTGTGCGAACGCGTACCTCCCCTCCACCAGCAACCGCCTCCCGCGTGGCAGGAAGAGATGAAGCGCAAGCGCGCCAAGCCGGCGAAAGCCACGAAGGGCAGGCCGTACTGCCCGGGCATGGGGCACGCGGCCTGCCCGAACGTCGACGTGAGACAGATCGCCGGAGAAGGGGGGCGGGCGGTCATTGTGGAGCATGCGCAAGGCGGGGCGGGACCGTCGTTCTTGGAGGACCCGAGCGGGTATCTGGCGCAGCAGACGGCGCTGTTGAACAGCACGATCAATAGGCAGACAGGTTAGTGGTCAATGAAGTGAGAGATTTCAAAAAACGATTGTTTACATTTTACTCAATAGCTATCTCAGTTCATATTGGTATTACAGAAACGTTAAAATGGGCAAAAATTGAATAATTTTTATGTGCATTCAGAATGCAAAAAAGCATCGTTAACCTAAAGATTTTACATGAACTACTATTTTCTAAATGAAACATCAATATCAATAAAGACTGACATATGCTGTCATAGTCATGGGTATTATTTTAATTAGAATTCAAGGGAAGTGCTTTCATAGTGACAATAGGTCCATATTTCACTTTTACAGAACGGTAATGATTGGAATATATTGCATGTGGTGAAAAAAAATTAATATACACCTTGGTAGTAAAGAATATCCCCTCGGCTGAAGCCTCGGGATATAATCTTGGTCCCTTGGTAATCTGTTTAGAATTCTAAAAAAAGGTTTTTTCTTCCATTCTCATAGAAAGTACCCACTTTCCTCTTTCACATCATGGAAGAAGAGTAGGAAAAGTACTCATCTTAAGTATGTTGTGAATGATGAAACTCGTGAATCCATCATTCAAATTGTTTCCCTAATTTGTAGAAGATCTTGTGTATACTGTATTTTGGTTCACTGTAGTTACTTAGGTATATTTTTTTACTAGAAAATAAAACTATGATTGTTTCTATGTGTGGCTCACTGACAGTAAACACTGCGATTGTCTTTTATAGTGCAAAGTCGCTAGGTTTCTTGACCTTCATTGAATTTTTGAGAAATGGAAGTGTATGAAGTGATTTTGAATTTCCGAATATTGAAGATGAAAATAGAGGAAAACGTTGATTCCATTGTTTAAACGTCAAAATGCCGGTTACAAACCAAATGAAGCTAAAACTTTCACAAGAGAAAGATTGTCAGCTATCCCCTTTCTTTATGTGTATAAGTCGATGGTTAATGAAATGGAACATACATCCTCTATCCACTCAACTTTAATTTCAATACCACATTATTTCAAAAGAAAGGTTATTTTTTTGACAATCAATAGTAGGTGAAACAAACCATTTAGTCTTGTCTACGACTCTGATAATTTGATATTTTCAAATTTTAAAAGTCGCTGTGATCAAGGTTGGTATAACTCCGCCTATTGTTGTATGTCCACCCTTCTTCAGGCTAATTGCAGAGTTGAGTTGATATATTTTATTCAATTTTAATGTACTGGTGATGGACTTTTCGTTGGACTTTTCGTTTCGCCATCAGAAATGCCTTTGTCAAACTCATGGAGTTTTACTGAATGAAGGAAACCTTAAATTGAGAAGAAAAAAAAGATATTGCACGATATGATTTTGAATAGTTATGATATCACCCATGTTATTTATCTAACGAGCGTTTTTTCTTAAAAAAACGTGATTTTATGTATTCGTGAAATATTTTCTACTGCGATTGATTTCCATTCCCAAACTCACGTGTGACTTCCTTGCAGTTGTCACTTTTCTGATAAATCTCCAGATGTTAACACTTTATGAACATTATGCCTATCCTTCAATTTGGTGTATGTCGACGCTAGTGGGATCTTTGGGAAAGGCCGAAAAGGCTGAAATGGGATATTTTCTTTTCCGCGTCATTGAGAATATTCGATGCCATTTCCTGTTATCGAAAAAACGGCCGTGGTTTTACTTAAGGAATGGTCAGATCGGTATGTTAAAAAGAATTATTGGACTTTTTGTTTGGGTGAAAAAATTTCTCCCTGAAATCATGATACGAACATTTATAATACCCTGTTTTGTCATTTCAATGTATCGGGATACATAGGTATAATTCTTAAAAAAAATTGTATTTGTCGCCAGGCGCTAGCGGATGCACCAGCTACGTTTGCAACAGTCCATCAACGTCCCTCCAGAACCCCCAGCAGCACATAATCACCGTATCGAATGCCCAAACCAACGAAATAAATCTACCCAGCAACGTGATGGCGCAACAAATGAAACTCCAACACCCCATCAACCAAAACATACCCCCCAAACAAATACAGAACGTCACCTTCGCGCGCAACCAACAAATGCTCCAACAACCCTACGGCCAAGTACAAATCCAACCGAACAACATGGCAGACAGCAGTATCGCCAACGAACAACCCCAGTACCCAGCACCCTGTCAGTGCTGTATCGCCGATCCCTACCAACATCCCAAGACGGGCTCGAGACCCAACAGCAACGAGGACCCAGTCACCTCCTCCACCTACTCCGACAAGCAATTCAACCAACCGTCTCCGGACTCCCGTCCCATCCAGGGCGGCACCGTCAGCACGAGCAACGACGGGGTATCCCCCGGCCCGCCGACACCCAATCCCAACACGCCCACGCCCCCTCAAAGACCGCCCGAACCTTCTCCCTTTCACGTCGCCTACTCGCAACACAACCCTCAAATGGAGCACCTCGGCTACGCCAACAACAAAATGGAGAATATTTGTTGCTCCTACGCTCAAGCCGCTATGTCCGGTCGCACCGGCTTAGTCACCACGATGGCGAGCGGAAGAACGCACGGCAGCGACACGCTCACTTCGGTGCTGGCCGGTCGCACCAACACGGCTACGGTTTCCATAAACAGCCCTTCCACCGCCGGGTCTTCAACGCCCACTTCGATGAACAGCCCCGCCGTAACGGTGAACGTGTCCAAGTCGCCGCTGGAAATGGTGCAAAGCGTGGTCAGCAGCATCCAAGTGCCGCAATCGAGCTCGCAGATGTCGCCGCATCTCATCAAACACTCGCCCACTGGACACATTTTCGTGTCCTCGGGCGGGCAGCTGATCATGGCTAGCACCGGCAATCAGCCTGGTGGGATGATGGCACCGCCGCCGCCGAAAATTCCGGCGGTGACGCAGGTGATGCCGGCGCAGACCGTGCTGGTGAACGCTCTGCCGGCGCCGTTCGTCCTGCAGCCGGGCGTGGCGGTGACCGTGGATGGGCACGGCATGCAGCTGCCGCAGCTGGTCGCCGGGAACGTGGTGCAGCAGCAGATCCAGCTGGATGGGCACGATGCTCGCAGGTGAGATGTTTATAATTGCTATGGTGGCTTCCGTAGCTATATGAAAAAATAGAGGAGACGAAATTGTTTACATTTTGTCATCAGAAAACGATGATGACAAATTTCTGTGAATTGCCCTAGATCTACCGCCTGTGTTTGAAAACCAGGGAAGCATTAATCATACTTTATTGAACAGGGTGGGCCACCAGCAACGCCTCGGTCTTTAGAAGGCTAACCACTCATCTTGTTGAAATTCTTCCTCTTTAGGACGTTGCATGTTAACATAGGCGACCATTCGAAATTATTTCGAAACATACAGGGTGTCCCCCAAAAAAAATCCACTGAAGTTATACTTTTTTCAATGGAACACCCTATTTATTATATCATTTAGAGATTCTCCCGAAATAGCTGATTTCAACGACCCATCGTACTTGGGGTCTAGCAGTGATAATTACTGAGATATAGGGTGTACAAAATCGAGATTTCCAAGTTCAGGAATTGTTTGTGTCGAAACTATTCATAATTGGTCAAAATGATTTACATATCCCTATCTCAAATTTTAATTCACTATCGGTTGGTATTTAATTAAAATAGATACAGGGCGGTCAAAAATCTCAATTTTGAACCACCCAGTATCAGATCAAAAAAGTTGAAAACTTGTCCATGATCATGTAATTCTTTTTTCCTTCCACTGACTAACTGAAGTTCATTTTCTCATTGAGTAAAATTAACATGTTGAAAACATTTTTATGTAATCTAAAAATAACTATGAAAAACATGAAATGTTGCCTAAGTATTTTATCATATACTCAAATTTCCAAAATTTCTGAATTATCAATCAACCACGATTTAATTTTTTTCTTGATTCCAAAGAAACTCATTTTTTCAAAAGAATTAGATGATCACGGCAGAGAATACCTAAATATATGTTTGGTGATTAGGTGCGACCAATAAAAAATGAATTGTGAGAATTGTTTTATGTTCATGTTTGCAAGGTTCCTACATGAATGGATATCAGAGATCGAGGGAAGAAATTATATGCAATGATTTCAATTATCATTATACAATTTATTCAATCCCGTCCACAAAAAGTCGATAACGTCCAGAGTTGGACGTACCCAGTATATCGGAATCGTATGTATCCAGTACGTCTAGAAATGGACCTTTTCAGTAGGTCTTGAAAAGGTCCTGGACGTTCAGACCTAAATCGGACCTAAAATGGACGTCCCCAGAACTTCGAGTGCTATATGGGTGTATATCTATCTTTCAGAGCTATGTTGTCGCCGGAGACGAGGAAGAAATCGAAAAAAAGGAAAGGGGCGGGACAGACAGTGGCGAATATGTTGCATGTGGCGGCGCAGCAGAGTCCCGGGGTTGTTATGGCGCAGCAAGGGTTCCCGCAGCAGATACAGATGGCGCACAGCCCGCAAGGTATGTTTATCGAACTTTATTAGCACAGTGCTCTTCATTTCAGTACAATCTACAATAAGTACAACAAATCGATAAATAAAAGCATACCCAGCAAACATGAATAGGTGGTAAATACCTGGGCCATAGCCGTCACCAGCGGATATGTGTCAGCAGCGGCAAATATTATAATGGCATCGGTTGTGCCGCCATGGCTCGATGTACGCATATTGATTATGTTTATCTACTAGAAAAGTTAATGAGTCCAATGAAGAGTTCAAATTGGTTTATTTGTCAATTTCAAATTACTGGATTCACTTGAAGTTCATCTCAGTATACCTATGATATGCCTCGTAATATACCTCAATCTGTGACCTCAATAGATACTCAGTTTGCGATAACGTATACACATTTTCTGGTATAATATCTAAGTTCAACAGAATCACCAATAGGTTAGAAAGATTAAAAAAAATCACACTCAGCTGTGTTTGTCCCCCGACCAGCTGATAAAAACGACGAGTGTGCCATGTTGTGACGTCGAGAGTGACTTTATAAATAGAATGATGACACAAGTGGTACACTTTTTGATTGATCACACCAATATGGAGGTGCACCTACCTGTCGTGTTTTCTCCATTCAGTTCTACGCATTCTATTTCATTTTGTCAATGCTTCGTCTCTGTTTTTGCTCTTTGGACACAAATGCTCTATTGTATGGCACGAAAGGTGATTATAGCGGTATTGGTATACCCCTAAACCACCCGTCCATAACCCCTAGCGTCCCTAACCCTTACGAGTTTTGACTGTTGTTTGATGAAAGGATGAGCTATCTGGGCTTGCATCTAATCATCGTATGTCGAATATTCAGCATTATGAGTGAAATTGTAGGTTATTCGCATATCTTGATTTGATTTTGACTGGAATCTCAGGACATTGTATATTATTCGTGAGTTGAACATCGAAAAGCCCTCGAATGGGCCGCCGCTGCTCCATGAAGAGTTTTGATAGAGTTATGTTCGATTGTTTTCGTCTGGGTATTGGTAATCTAGCAGTATATTTTTTTGATCTGGCTCGGGTTTTTTAGCTCCCCCTGTATATTTTTCGTTCATTCAACATAAGATTTTTAAATTACCCTACTGCTATTGTACGCTACTACGCGTGGACGCTCTGTATATATCACCAGATGTGACAGCCGATTAGCTTTTTGCTCGTTGGAGACGGATGACCTTGAAAGCGTAAATTTTTGCTATTTTTGAGCTTAAAATTCGCTGAAAAAGTCCGTAGATCTAGGAAAAAATCTGGTCTGCTTTACATTGGCTCTTATGGGGCTTTCCACTGCGCATCGCGGAGTTTTCGTAGAATCTGGGGAAAAAGGACTTGGAATTTTAAAAATTGCGGGGGTTCTCTCATAGCTAAATTACTCATATAACAATCAGACATGAAACTCTATACGTCAGTACCTTGGATATTAACTATTAGAATTCGTCTTTTGGGACTCCTAAGTCTCAGATTATTTTGATGATTGTAAAAATTGTAAAATTGTTCTATCCGTCATTCGGTTGCCCCCTTACGAGCAACCCTCAGAAGTCTTCGAAAGTCTTGTGCGAGCAAGGAATGACGGGGGCCTTACCTTTTAACGTGTGATCCCAAACACTTTCTTGGGCCATCAGAAAAATTTCTGCAGTCGACGGGAATCGAACCCACGACCGGCAAGCGAATGCGAATTAGAATATAGACACTCTGTCCGCACGGCTACCTGGCCCTGATGTAATGAAAATATCAAATATATAAACCTAACATCAGATGGGCACTTCGAGGGCGCAGATTCAATACTACATGGGAAATACCGTTTAGATATTTAGCTGAGTAAGTAAATAAGTAAGTAGGTTAAGTAGGTGAGTAAGTATTTATTTTTCATAAGACTTGAACAACAAGTATATAAATTGTCAATTTAGGATGAAAACAGTAATAATATTATAACTAGACACTAGCCCAAGATCTGGGAAAAAAAACAAACATAGAACTGTTCACAAATAATTATGCATAAAACAGAAGTACTATAGGACATATGATACAAAGTAAAATGAACCATTAAAGTATTCTGTGAGAGAGTAGTAGCTTTCATTGTTGAGGAATAATTTGCACTGTCTTGAATAAAGGATTCTTTAGAACTTTTAGTGAGTCAGGCAAATGATTATATATTTTGAGAGCTGTTATGACTGGACCTTTTCTAATCTGTGCGAGTGAAGCTGGAGGAATGAATAGTTTATTTGCTTTTTTTGTTGTATAATGATTAATATCACCTCAGGAATTGAAATTTTTAAGATTACCGTGAGTGAAGCAAAGAGCGGTCAGAATGTAAATATTGTAAATGATTGGAATTTTTTGAGAAATGAATATCTGACGACATGAGTCCCTTGGTCTCATACCAATTATACTACTCATTATCCGTTTTTGACTGATGAATAACTCTTCAGAACCAGAGCTATTACCCTAACACAGTATGCCATACATTAGTTGAGGATGTACATAGTAGTATGACATTATTGCTTCGGTATTTGATACTTTTCTTAGTTGAAAAATTGCAAAGTTTTCTGATGACAATGATTTCACCAAATTCTGTGTGTGGGTCTCCCAAGAAAGATTTTCATCCACATATAAACCCAAAAATTCAAAAGAATTGCATTGTTTGATGGATACATTATATTCAAAGGGGTTCCTCAAGGATCAGTGTTGGGTCCAATTATTTATCTATTATACATTCAAAATATTGAAAGAATGAATATGATAGGAAACTATACCATATATGCAGACGATACAGTGCTTTTATATGAGAATAAAAACCCAGTAGTTCTTGAACATATCATAAATGAGGACTTGAAAAAAATTGAGAAATGGCTTTATTCCAATCTTCTTTCTCTTAATTCTAATAAGACTCAATATATAATTTTTCGTCAAAGAAATAAACAAAATATTGATCTGAATATTAGAATAAAAAATGAACGTTTGAAACAAACTGCCCATACCAAATACCTTGGTATTTGGATTGATGAGAAATTAACATGGGGAAAGCATATTGACATCCTCATAGGAAAAGTATCTCCCATTATTGGTGCTTTGAGAAGATGTCCTAAACTCAGTACATATACATCAAATATTATTTTCTATTCACATAGTCGAATTAACTATCTCATTAATATTTGGGGATCTTGTTCCAAAAATAGTTTCAAAAAAATTTCTGTTCTATATAAGAAGGCATTGAAAGTATTGTATCGTCTTCAATATGATACTCCAACGAATCAACTGTATGAGGAAACAAACACATTTTCTTTGGAAGAGCACTTTTTAATAAATACTCTCAAAATTTCCTATTATATCGTCAACGAAAAACTCAAATCAAATTTTATATTAATCAGGAATTCCGAAATTCATGATCATCACACTAGACAATATAACTTGTTTCATCTTGAAGCTGCAAATTCTAATCTTGGGCAAAAAAAGTTTACACAAGAGACGATTTCGAAATTCAATAAATTACCAGATGATATAAAAAACAGCCTAAATATTATGCAATTCAAAAATAAAGTTAAGAAATATATTTATATGCAAAGGAATGATCAAAGCTAAAAGACTATGAATTTCCTTTTTTTTTTCACTGTTTTTATTTTTCCCTTTTTTGTTCACTATAATATGACTGTTATTTTGAGATATCTTAATGATATGTAAGTTTTGTTCACTATTTGTAATTTCAATTCTACAACAGTCGATAATATGAATGATCTTATACCAGGAATTACTGTCTGATCATTCATGTCATTCCTACTAGAAAATTATTTATACTTTATATATTATTTATATGAAATGTATCAATGAAGAAGAGAATGTAATGCAATAACTGAAATAAATAAATAAATAAATAAAATTACCAGGCCTCACCAATAAGCAGATATCAGATTTCGTTGTTATAGGTGTGAATAATACAAAGTTTGTTTTAGATAGATTCAATATCAATCCGTTAGTATCACACCACGTTTTCATGTTACTGATACAGTTGGTTGACCTATTAGCAAGGTCTTCATAAGTACATTCAATGGCTTCGACACTGTTGTGGTCCCATTTTTCTTTACACAGACCTGCTGGATTCTTTCTGAGAGGTATGAACTGCCCCAGGTTAATGCAGGTCCTCTTATTCCATACAATTCAAATTTATTCAATAGTAGTGAGTGATTGACAACATCAAATGCCTTTTGGAAGTCAAAAAACATAGTCGAAGTTTTCAATTTATTGTCAAAATTGTTTAAGAGCGGTTCATATAACGATATCAATGCTTCTTGTGTGGATAGATTTTTTGTGAAGCCAAATTGTCTATTCGTTAATAACTTGTATTTATTTGGTTATTTCAAAAACCTCACTTGAAAGGCTTTTTCGAATAATTCTGAAAATACCGATAATAAGGTAATTTGCCTGTAATTAGACATATTTGACTGACAACCCTTTTTATGGACTGGGATAACTAGAGCAGATTTGAGTTGCTGCGGAAATATACCTGATTTAAAAGATATGTTGACAAGAAATGTTAACACCTCGACTATTTCATTCAATATTCGACATGGTACTTCATATTTTCCACTCGAGTTTTTGGAGCAAACTGTATTAATTATTTCAGATATCTCTTGACAATCGACGGGAGTTAGGACTTGACCATGAATGACATTCCGGAAACGGCAGCCATTTGGAGGTCTATTGTTGTCACTCTATTCAATCTACTCACTCTAGTGACGTCAGCTGACATTGATCTTTTGTGTATCAGGTCCGGTGATGCAAGCGCTGACTATCGTGCCGAGCAAACATGGCGGCCCCCCGCAGATCGTCATGAACGGTCAACCCAACTTGGGCCCGCCGCAGATCATCGCCAACTCGCCCACGCAACAAATCAACCTGCTCCAACCAGTCAACCTGATCAACGGTCCTGCCGGCATGGTGCAAAACTTCCCCGCTATTCAACAGTTCATCGTGCCCAATTTGGGCGGTATGGTGATGAACGCAGACGGCTCGGCGACCATCTTGCAGGTAGGGTTGGGACGACTGAAATTTCCAAATGAAAATTTCCAATTCGGAAGCTTCAAAATCGAAATATTCCACTGAGCTGTGAAAGTGAAATTTTTGAAAATCAAGGGGGTGATTCTGCATAAGAAAATATAAAATTTATTTTATATACACGTGGGTCCGGAAATGCATAGTTAACAAGATACAGTGTGTTGAAGTTTAGAAAAAAAATATTTTTTTAATGAATATCTCAAATATCCTTCCACTGATTCTCTTGGAATTCGGCAATGGTTTTCTTTATCATGAGGGGCTGATTTACCCATAATTAAATTGGAATTGTGAAATCCAGTAGCGTCCCGGGGGCACCCTAGCGAATATTATTGTCAATATAAATGTGCGTCAACTAAAAATACGGGGTGAAAATAAATGTGTGACTCATATCCATACACATAGAATAAGAATGAAGATTCATTCATTCATTCATTTTATATAAAATAAAATACAAGTGTTCGATTTCTGTTTCATAATCCATTATACAAAATAAATAGTACATATAATACATATACATGTTTGACACACTTTGTATTATTGAAAATAACTCCTTCCTGGACCGGGAATACATAGTTCTCAATACACATAGTGTAGAGTCTGTTAAACATGTATCATGAGATATTTGAAGAAAATAAATCATCATTGTTATTCTATGGACATGGATCACACATTAATTTTCACCCGAATTTCTGAACGATTTTTTGGACACAAATGTATGCAATGAATTGGTATTTATTTTTTTCCATGGAAATGAAGCACAATATCGAAACAATTCAGGAGACAAAAATGTTGTATTATACAGAAAAATCAGTGGCGCACATTTTATTGACAATAATATTCGGTATGTTGCCCCCTGGGACGCTACTGGATTTCATGATTCCAATTGAATTATGGCTATATCAGCACCTCATGACAAAAAATGTCATTGCCAAATTTGAAGAAAATCGGTGGAAGGACATGTGAGATATTCATTGAAAACCGATTTTTTTTTTAAGTTCAACACACAGAATGTTGAAAACTATGCGTTTCCGGACCCACCTACATATGGAATGAAGTTCTTATTCCCCTTGATTTTTTGCACATAATTTTCGGACACCTTGTAAACAGGGGTTGTATGATCATATTTGTAAATGTTGTATACAAATCGGATACAGGCATTTTGTGAAAATTGTAATTTATTTTTATATTCCTTTATTAAATCCAATATTAACTCAAATTCGTAGATTGACTCCAGCTTTATATACATTGGTGATATTTTTTGTTCACATGAGGTTCAAAATTGAAACTGGAATCAAATATCAGTCCTAGATTTCTAGCACTTTCCTTGTAGGGTATCTCATAGTTTCTTCTCCAAAATCACACATTGGTCTCGAATTTGAATGTTTTTTATATTGCAACTTTTCGTTCTTGATATTTTTCGATTTCTTCTTATTGTAACTTCGAATTAAGTGTCCTAAAATTTGGTTTCATACGTGAAGTAGGTCTGATGATATTTTGATAGATAACTTCTGCATCATTTAACCCGAGAACGCTCGCGCCTGAAAAGTTACGGTGATGCTAGCGGCTGGTCGTTTTGACCGACTAGGAAATCCTTAATTTTGTTGTTTATTTTGGTATCCAGCTACTGATATACTTTTATAGGAACTTTATTAACTATAAACAGAAAGTAGGAATGTTTTTGAACAACAATAAAATTGAAGAACTCGTTATGCAATAAAATACAAGTGTTTGATTTCTGTTTCATAATCCATTATACAAAATAAATAGTACGTATAATACATATCCAAAATAAGTTATCAATTATCATCTATTTGATTTCGTCACATTTATTTGATTATAACCTCCAATTTTATTTAAACAGTTGATAATTTGGTACCAACTTGAAAATGCTCGCGCGTCGGTGGAAACGAAGAATTGTCAAATTTCAGCTTCTAGCAACAATCTTTGACAAAAACCAAAAGTATAGACTGGTTCGCCAGTTTGACCTAGGAAGACTCAAAAACGCGTAAAATAAATTTGAAGCGGGGATTATTATTTCTTGAAGAAAATTATATTTCTGTTGATAATCAGTGAATGAAAGTTAGTAGCATGATAAAGTTAGCAGAATGGAATAGTTTTGTCGGTGTTTATTCATTTAAATATCACAGAAACAATATCGAAAAATAAATATTATTGAAGAACGTTCAAATTTGGGCTCATGTATAATATCGAAATTGGAACAACTTTTCCCAGTAAATTTTCTTGAAATTCAAACCAATAAGCCTATTTCCAGCGATGATTTGAAAAAATATAACTTTTAACATGTAGCGAAAGTCATATGACCCCGACCGCCCAGTCCATTTCTTGAAATAATAAACGAGACTGTTACCATTATTTCTTGAAAATATCAATGAAATTCACAAATTTCGGCAAATTCTTGGGGCACCGCACGTTTCATAGGGAAAATTGGCCTGAAGTCTCAATTTTTTTTTTCTTCTGATAAGTTTTTCAATTTGAGCTATTATTTTATAAGTCACTACAAGAAGTTTTCTTCAATGTTTTTGCTGTTGGTCAAGAATTATACAGTGTGTTCCAGCAATTATGGGGGAGATAAAATATGATACTATTCAATAATTCAATAAAAAAGGATATTGTCACGTGTCGCATTCCAATTATGAAATTATTACTAATATTATTGTTATTATTTGAATTCATGTAATTCCAGTCACGACCCTGCGGCCTCCGACGCCACGCAGAGTCGTGCTGGATAAAATCCAGTGACTATTCCTCACAGCCTGTGAGGTGAATAATCACTGGGACCAAGAACCGTGTGCCCTGAGTAAACGCAATGATCCAAGTATGACGGCCTTCTGCATTCCACCAGCCAGGATGTGTGCTTTATCGCTGCACGCTGGGATTTTCTGGATTTCCGAGAGCAGCGTATGTCGTGTGCCTCCTAAGGAGCCGATTATCAGGATGACCAATTCCACAGAATGCTCTGGATAGAGCCTGCGGAGTTCGAAGAGAAGATCTCGATATTTGGTCCGTTTCTCCTCCTCCTTCAAAACGATGTTCGGTTCGGCTGGCGCCAAAAACTCGATCACGAACATCGCTTTGGTTTGATGGTCGAGGAGGACTACATCAGGCTTGGTAGCTTGTATTTGCCTGAGGGTGGGGAATGAGAAGTTCCAATAAATTCGGCACCTCTCATTCTCCACAACGGACTCAATATCCCCCGGAGCATAGGGCAGCACTGGGTGTTATTATTATTATTATTATTAGTATTATTTAATGTTCACCTAGAATATAAAGAGGAGATATACAACGTTGTCAACTCGTTCTATAACAATAGCCGATATTATCAGTAATATCATCAGTAATCATTTGCATCTTTAGATGAATATTCCTTGTAACTTCGTCAAAAAATTCTGATTATAACTATAGTCTGTTCGTTTAAAAGGCGAAGTAATGGAATGTGGCAATGGAATGTTGTCGCAAATTTTCAAAGAGAAATCTTCCAGAGTAACCACTAGAGCGGCGTTGATATTTCATGAATTATACGTATAACCCTTTTCTGGGTAGAGTCGATTTTGCCGCTTTAATACAACAAAGTACGGACTACGAGGAGCTCCGAATTTCCGACAAACGCGCGGCTGGGGCAGGCCTTTCGCCGACAAACGCGCCGCTTCGCCGGCCTAATTAAGTCAAAGGAAATAATAGGCACTCCGAGTTTTCATGGGCGTAGGGAAGAAAACATAGCATGGGATCAACGTTAGTTGTGAAGATTGGTATTTTTAATGCCTTTTTCATTGACTTGTGATTCGTGACACATGTTAGTACGCTTTCCGACCTGGGTGTGTTGAGCAAGATGGACACGTTTTTATAATATTTCGAGTTATCGCTGATGTGTGCCTGACAGTTCTCAAAGCTGGTTTCCGCCTTGATATTGTTGAGGCTTGGGGATAAAATGAAAACTATCACCATTTTCAATTTCATTAGGTAATATCTATAGCAACTTGTTATCATTCTCATGTGGGTATATTATCATTAATCCATGTGTTTTATGTACTCATTCACTTTACTTCCAAGTAATTATAGGACTATAATCATTAGATGTATGGCTGATGATAGTCATATATATTTCCGAAACATGTAGCCCTCTTGATTGATCTGCTACTCACATAGGAGGAAATAATTTCACTCCACTTTGATAAACCAGAGACTTCTACCAAAGATACTGAAATAAGCAAAAAAAAATGAAAATAGTCGGTCACCCTCACACCATAATTATCATCTTATTGAGAAAGGGCCATTACGTACCAAATAGTTAGTAAATTAAATAAGGCCCCAAAAGAACTGTTTCTTCTCCTTTGAAGTCTGATTTTGTTTTTCCATTATTTTGACTGCATTGGAAGGTATAATCATATAATGATGTTGTACACTCTAGTCGACTTTTCGTCACATACCTATTTATTTTATATCGATAGTTTCCTGTATTGATAGTATTTCATAAGGACTTTCATTATATTCACAATAATCACATATAGGTACTTGTTTTTCAAAACGACGAAAACCATTTGTATCAAATTCATCAGGCTTTATTTCCCTCATTTCAATAATTATGCTTTTACGGAGCCTAAATATTTCTATTAGTTTTATTTCCTCTCAATATTTTCTATACCGTTGTGTTACTCACGCCTATCATATTGGAATATACAGAGAAGTGCACAGAAAACGGCCACTGCTGTATCTTCTGATTGATTCTAGATCGGATTTCTAAAATTGGTGGGCAGCAAGTATACCAAATTGCTCATCCACTGACAAAACAATATCTGCATGGTCCATTATTTTCTGTTCCACTAGAAACGACCGCAACTTTTGATTTCTAGATGGGACACCCTGCATTTTATTCCATGAATTGTTAGGGCTTATCATAACAGATTCGAGGATACCGCGTTCGATGGGGTTATTTCAAACGATTACGAAGGCTCAATGAGTGTGACATAGAAATGAGTTTTGATGGTGCAAAGTCACACCAATTGACATATGGAAATTTCGAACGCAAATATCTTCGTGATCATCTGAAATAACCCTATCGAACCTGATCGTTGATTTCGTCATAATAATCCCTTACCGATTATAGGATACAATACAGGGTGTCCCATTTGAATATCGAAAGTTGGGGTCATTTCCGTTGAAATCGGAAGTGATAGAATAAAAATAGTTTTGTTAATGAATGAGCAATTTGATATACTTGCTATCCACATTTTCGAAATCTGATCTAGAATGATTAGGAAGATACAGCACTGCCCGTTTATTGCGCACTTCTCTGTGTATAATGTTAAAATTATTCACTAATACCTTCACGTTACGTTATCTTTTCGCATACGATTATACAGTTAGGACGATTGTTTTCTAACAATCAAGGCAGGACATCTCTGGTGTTTCAACAACACCGAAACAACCATGAATTGCTTTCATAGTTGACAGCAATCTTATTCCAAAGACACTTCGAATATGCAACTGAAAATGATATGATATGAGCGAGCTGAATTCATCGCTCTGAATTACAAATGTTTTCCGATTTATCGTTGGTCAAGCCCAAAAGCAGAAATCAATGGTACGCCCATGGTTGGTTTGGCACATTCCATTACTGCGCCTTGCAAACGAACAGACTATAGTATATTTTTTCAAATGCATGTCAATATATTCCAGATATCACGCCCTCGAAAATCGTACCATTCTTTCAAAAATCATCAATTGATCATCCGAAGTTGATGAGGCAGGAACGCAGAAATTGAATAGTTTGTAAACTTTGTTACTTGTGCTGATTTATTGATGCTATATATACGAACTGTTTTAAGAGGAAAACGCATAACATTCCTTCCCAAACCTTGACAAATAGGAGATTAATACTAGAATAAACATCATCACATTAATATTGAATATTAAAATATTTTTTTGATTCGAATATCATTCAGCTGTTGTTATATGAAACGGGTTGATATCTTGTATATCTTCTCGTTATACAAAGGGTGAACATGGAATTCGAATGAACGTATTTTGTAATTGAAATAGGACTTTTCTCGATTTCTCATTTCTCTATAACCTTTCCTATAAAATTGATGAATATCATTACTGTCTGGAGCAATTATAAAAAAAAGTGTTTTTAACCGCCAGCTTAGTTGCAAAGCAACCCTCGAAAGTCAGAGACTTGTGTGAGTTAAGAAGACGGCTGGAACACATTGTATAATTGTTGACCAGTAGCAATAATATTGATGAATACTTCTAGTAGTGACTTATCCTATCAAAATAAAATATAATAATGGCTCAAAAAGCATTATTCATCAGGAGAAGAAAATCAAGATTGGGACTTCTGCGGCCTCTAGCGCCAAAACTAGCCATTAGAACGGTTTGGTATTTGGACATTTTGTTCAGTATGTCTTGAACTATAACATAACAAAAATTCAGCCAATTCGACAGGAGGCGAATTTTCCCTATAAAACGTGCGGTGTCCTTTATGAAATTTGAATGAATTTCATATCTTTCATGGAAATTTTAAGTGAGATTTCATTTCATAGCTAAAACTGAAATTTCCCCATTCCCAATTGCAGGACACCTCGAACTTGGGCGTGCAGCTGCAAATCCAGAACGTCAACGGCCAGAACGTGCTCACCCCAGTGCAGAACAACGGCATGTTCGCCGCCGGCATGGTAATCCGCTCGCCCGCTTCGCAGGGCAAGCAGCACAGCCCGGGCGCGCAGTTCCTGTCGCCGGGCGGCGGCGGGCAGTTCGTCGTGAACGGCGGCCAGTTCGGCGGGCAGCTCAGCCCGCTGAATCAACAGGTGGCGTTCGGCGCGCCGGCAGCGCGCATGCGGCCTGGCGACGCGGGCCAGGAGTACGTGCAGCTGGGCCAGACGCTGATGGTGCCGTGCTCGCCGAGTGTTAGTGTGGCGGGCGGGTCTGCGGGCAGGCAGAACGCGACGTTCGTACAGCAGAATACGACGATCGTGCAGCAGCAGACGACGATGGTGGCGAACAATCAGCAGGTAATTGGTTTCTTGTTCATATACACTGCCGTGCTAAGCGCAGATGTGGCAACTGACACCGATGGCATTATGAGATAATTGATATTTCAGAGTATTAGTCCTGCCACCTCATTTTTCAAAATATGAGTTTGAATTTTGCTAACTGTCAAATATTGACATTATGTTATTATTCTAACATTTTACTTAACGATCAACTAGACCCCGATAGTTCACCACTGTTGAATTTGTTTTCTTAGTAGGGAATAACATGTATTTGCTATCAACCCTTTCCAGTTGATCCGTTACACCGTATTTTAATGTAGATATTGTGCCTTTTTTTCGAAAATGAAGGTTTATCGAACCTTTCCACTGGTAATTTCAATCCTTCAGGTTGATTTATTTCATTGTACTAGTATTTCACCTGATGAAGCAACTGTGTAAGCGGAACGTCGTGTGATTAAGAATTTCGTGGAAATCTCATTATTGTGAATTTTTTACATCAGTAATAGTAGACTCTGAAACTACTACTGAAATTAGATTCTGAACCTTGGTTGATTCATATATAATTATAGGGATGTCATCAATGTCAACTCCAATATCTCTTATTGTACTATTATTCTGAAACCATTTCCAGAAAACACATCAGGATTCATGTTTTTGCAGTCATAAAAAATTTAAAAAATTATTCTGCTAGTGGGGCGACCTCAAACTTTTCTAAAATTATCACACTTTCAGATATCCTGTAGGTCATGATTCCGAAAAGGTGGAGAAACGTAAGAAAATCATGTTGCAATTGACTGAGTAATCCGAAACCCAAAAAAAAAACAAAAATCGGTTCATCCAATCCAAAGTTATTATGGTTCGAAAACAAACAAAATATTCGCTTGTCTCACTTCAAATATGGAGCAGTTTAGTACTTATATAGGGTTTTTCAATAAGCGTATCAGAACTTTGAAATAAAATAGCGGCAACCCTGAAAAACATTCCATATGATGTCTTACAAAAGTGAATGGAAATTAGACCACCAGGTTACAGAAAACTAGACTAAGTCGAGGCAAACAGTTGAACAACGATATTTTTAAAACAATGTCAGAGGTAGCTCTACAAACTAATATAAAAAATATTGTATTATACTTGTTGTTTTTGCTGTGTGAAATTTGAAAGTACTGACAATATGACCAACTCCTAATATTATATCATGCCCAAATAGTGTCCAGACTAAGACACTGAGTATGCTTCTGGGACCTAACTACCGCATCATCAGATGTTTTCATTGCACAGTATTATACATATCATACATATGCACACACTTAATTCTTGAATTCTGTCTTTATTTGTATGAAAATCGAAATAACTTCACAATAGGTGAGTCCAGGTACAAACACAATACACGTCAAAAAGATCACTTCTATATTCCCTTCATTAGTACGAAAATTCCTTATAATTCTTCTAGAGCAATATCTCCTCGAATTTATAATTCATTATCCAATGAGATGAAATGTAATAATACATTTTACAGTTTCAAAAGATCATTGAAGAATTTCCTAGTGATATATAGCATATTACTTAACTAACATGTAAAAGTGACATATTTTCCTGGGACCGCAAATATTCAATATTATATGCATCATGAGTGTTTTTGGGGTCTGAGTAGGTATCATGTGTTTGATCATATTTGATCACATAAAGGTGAAATAATTATCATTATTATCATCATCTTTATTATTAGAAGAAGAAGAAGAAAATAAACTTTATTGGACGAAATAAAAAATACATTATGCCAAATGGCTGACGACCAAAGTCTTCCTGCCAGTATATACTGAATCATTTTGTGTATTTCAAGGGCATTATTTAAATAGTGGTTTTTACAAGGTAAATTATGAAAAAAAAAAAACATTTTACACATTATTATTCTATCTGTTGGTATTTTGTCTGGAGAGTGAATCATATAGGCTGAATTCAGGAAATTTGCGTTTGATGGAAGTAAGGGGATTGGTTTGGTGAATGAGGGGCTGCATAAGGGTGATGTCTCCTTGTTTGTTCGCAAATTTTTTGGTCAGTCTGGTGATTCGGGTGAGGATGGGTTCTATTTTAGTTTTCTGGTATAGAAGAATGTTGGAAGGGTAGTGGAGAGGATTTGCAGGGTGCCTTATTTTGGTAATAGTTCTTAGATAGCTTCTCTCCGCCACTTCCAAGTTCCGCTGAGTTGGTTTCCTGCAGTTATTCAGAATAACATGTCCGTATTCCAGAACAGGTCGGCAGATCATTCTATATATTTTGCAAGCTGTAGCTGTATTTATTCCTTGATTTTGGTATGTCAAGGATCTGAAATGTTTTGATCTTTTCATTGCTTCCTTTTTTGTCCTTTTCATATGGGCTTTAAAGTTCAATTTGCTGTCTATAGTCATGCCAAGATATTTTCAGGTTGGTACTGTTTGTAGCTGTTGATTCTGCAAGGTTATTTCTGGAGAAGTGTTCTTGATCCTATGATGGAATATCATCAATTGGGATTTGGTTGGATTTGGTATAATTCGCCATTTTTGCATCCATTGCGTGGTGCTGGTTGTCAATTGTTGCAGTGTTCTCATAGTTTTTTGTAATGTCTTACCATGTGCTACCAGTGTCGTATCATCAGCAAATTGCTTCTGGATTAATGTGGTTTGAGTTTTGTAGGTTGTGGTTGTATATGTACAATAAATATTATACAATATCGGCGACAGGGGTGAACCTTGTGGTAATCCTTGTTCTGGTGTAAAACTCTCGGATAAGCTGCTTTTGAAATTGACTTGGAGGGTCCGCTCGTTGAGGAAATTTTTAAGAATCCAAAGAATATACAGGGGGCATTGTATTGAGTGAAGTCTTTATTATTATTATTATACAATTTCACTTTGATATCAACTCAACATGATTAACTTATCATTTACTCAATATTAACCAAACTTAACACTTACCCAACATTAACTTAACATCAACTGGACATTGAGCACACTAACAACTTCGAATTTTTTTTTATCGGTTGGAGCGCACGAAAGGAAATCCCTATAATGTTCAAAGAACATCGTGCGTTCCTAGGGAGGATAGGGACAGGAGGTAGGTATTGGAATTTTTTTTGAACTTCTGGAGATTATATGTTGTTGGGAATACTTATTATCAGCTCAACATCACTTCAACATTAACTTCAACATTAACTTTACATTAGCTCAACATCAACTTGACAATAATTCAACAATAATTTCACATTAATTACTTAAGTCTTAATGTAAGAAGAATGTAGTGTGAGACTAACAAAAATGAATGTATTATGAATGAATGTATTCATTATCATAATCATTCATACATACATCATGTAGAGCAATCAAAGACCACGTGAGCGTGCGGCAATATTTCCACACTGTTCATTTTTACTTTCACATTGCTATGGTGATATGAGATACTCTCCAAGCAACAACACAGTGTGCAATATCATGCTTCATAGATGGTCGTAGGAAAAACGTTTCTATTCTATAGGGGAATATCTACAAATATGTAACATGTAATATTTTAATGTATTTTAGATGTAACTGTTGAGTTTCAATTGATTTGTCAGCGTTTTATTTGACTTCTCTAATTTTTATATCTGTTTCATCTGTAATGACGAATCCAATAACACAACTTCCAATTGTCGGATGAAAAATAAAAATATTATTATTATAGGTAGGGGGTTTCCAGCAGGACGGGCAGGAGGGCCAGCAGGGTTTGGCTGGAGCGGCTGTGAACTTGGATCAGCAAAACTATATCATTAGTTCGAATGACAACAAGCAGATGCAGGTGAGAAGGGATTTATATTAATTTTGTTTTTATACCACTAACCTAAGAAATTACTATTATTCGAGGATTTCCTCTGATGAGAAGTAATACTCTTTGAACCTAGGTAAATAAAGATAGATTGATAAAGAGATATCACCTAAGTCGAAAAATACTGTCCATAGTGTCAATGATATTATGCAAAAAACACATAGATACCAATGCCTATGCAATCAACAAAAAATGATGCATTCTTGAAACCAAATATAGTTGAAACTACAAATCTCATTACAGCTGAAAGCAACTTTTGAAGTATGAAAAATGTTGGGAATAATCTGATTAAAATTTAATTCTAAAAATGTCACAACACAAATCATGCGTGAGCTGTCACTAGTTGCGTTTCATTTATCCGATTCCGCCACCGAAATCATTTTAGTTTGTCGATTTATTTGCAACTTCTCCTATTCCGGTTGCTACAAATTCAACACCTTATTCTGCAACAAATCTATCACATGTATAGATCACTCTTTCAAGAACCTGGTATCACCTACTACAGAACGCCTTCTTCTCTACAGAAGAATTTTTACTTCAATGTTAGTTTCATAATATGTCAATTTCGATACATATATATAATTTCTTATTTTCTTCAAACTGTACTTTTATTTTAATGTGTAGGCATAATACTACGAACTCACAACTCTGGAGAGGAGAGGTTGTGAGTTCGACTCTCACACGGGGCGGGGGAGTTTTTTCATTTTCCATTGTCACTCGAAATTAGGGCTTTCCATCTTTATCATTATATGTATCTTTTCGCTTGAGTAACCGACAAACCTAACTTGACTCATATGTATGATTGCCTGCGGGAAATATGGAGACTGTATAGTACCATCCTGCCAGCGATTCGTATTGTGCATGATTCCCAGTGACTTCGGGAATTGGAAGAATTCTGCCGCCTGGTGTGTGAAAAAACTTGACCTCCCTGCCGATTGATCGACGGATGTCCCGTTGGCTCAATTGGTAGAGCGTTGGGCATGTAACCCAGAGGTTGTGAGTTCGACTCTCACACGGGGCGGGGGAGTTTTTTCATTTTCCATTGTCACTCGAAATTAGGGCTTTCCATTTTTATCATAATTTATTTTAATGGTCTAATGTCATATCTATAAATCCACACAACTTTGCGACTAGCCTGATAGTGTATGCCTGTGTGCATTAATATTGTACTTGTATACTTGTTATAGGTGCATAAAGCTATTCTATTCTATTCTCTTCTATTCTACTTTTCATTCCGTCTCACCACACGGAATGAAGGGAAATGACTGTTGACAGTTGTCTAAAAATGAAATTAGATTGACAAAAAACGAATTTTTTTTCAGAGTAGAAGACATTTAGAAGACATTTTCATCATAACTTTCACAAATTCATGATTATTTCAAGTGAGACAGGTTTCATATCTTCATTCCCAGATGAAATGAATACTCTGGATCTCAGAGAACTTTCTCCAATGATCACCACAATCACTGCTCCAAATATGCGTTGATTTATTTCTTTGATTTTAAACTCTAGTATTATGATTTTGAAATTAGTTGGACACTCAATAAATAAATATAACTTTATTCATTTTTAATATGTTAATTGAGACGTTCATAATTCCTCTGTTGTTCCCACTCTTCAATTGTTTCGTCAGACTTATTCTCGATATGAACAATTGAATTCGAGTTCGGGAAATTCTCAAAATGTGATTTGAATCTTATTATGAAGTTGAACTAAACTTTCAAGGATGATTCGACACATCTGTCACCAGGGTCAAGAATAGCCTAGAAGTTCAGTTGGGAAATAAACTAAAAGGATATTTGACTTGACTGTCAAAAATGAACGCTGTTCAAAATTCCAGCTGAACATGTTAATAAATACAAAAAAACGAGTGAGAATTCAACTGATAATTTCACTCGCCATATGAAACGCGCATCTCCTGCGATGTGAGCACCAAGCAGAACGGTGTGCCGCGATAGTACTCGGTTCCTTCCTTTCGAGCCGGTAAGACCACGTCGTCATGGCAACCACGAATTTAAATAGATTTCTTGTTATCTGAGCGGTGTGACATAAATGTCAGTCAGACAGACATTATTGTCATTGCCTATTAGAATTCACGATAATGAACGAAATAAGACAACGCTTTGACAATATTTCAGTAAATGAAATAGATATAATAGTGAACAAACATGAGCCTAAGAATACCGTGAAAAATAAAAAATATGTGTGGAAGCAATTTATGAACTTCACTGTTGGAAAAGGGTATGTCATCAATGAAGACACAAGTATTCAAAGTTTAGCACTCATATTGAAGGACTGGGCATTCAATATGCGCAGAATTGATGGTGATGACTATAAAGAAAATGTCGCCAAATCAATGTGGAATATAACAGCAAAAATGATTCAGGAGAAATACCACAACGAATACGATAGAACATTCGACCCTTTTACAGATGTCACCTTCAAATCCGCACGACAAGCACGTGATACAAAACGTAAAGAACTCCAAAAATGTAATGAGAAAAGAACAAAATCGTCAGTATCTCTATCGGTTGAACAACAGAGAGCTATGGTGATGAGCTGCGATGAGAATACACCTATTGGACTCATGAAAAAGTTCTATCACATTGCTGCAGTAGAACTAGCATGGAGAGGGGGTGAAGCGGCTGCATGTAAAGTCCAGTATTTTCGTGAGGAACTCAACAATGCGGGTGTATGTACTGGTCGGATTATTTATAACCCAATCTTCACGAAAACAACCCAAGGTGGATCTCAGCGTTGTTCAGATGATAAATGGTTGGCAAAAAATAACAGGAATGAAGACATGTGTCCAGTAAGATTGTTCAAGAAACTGTTATCAAAACGTAATGATAACATTAAAACCGACAGGTTATTTCTATCAGTCAATCAATTTTGGAACAAGAATGAGAATAGCTCATGGTATAAAAATTGTCTAATGGGTTGCAACGAGATCGCCAAATGGACGAAAAATTCGGCAGAATCCATCGGATTGAAAACCGGCAAATTACAAATCATTCAAACAGAGCTACAACAGTTAGCCAATTGGCTAAAGCGGGACTGAACGAACAAGAAATTATAAAAATCACGGGACATGCTAGCGCCAAATCAATAAAGCCATATTTGCAAATGGACAGTGAGCACCATCAAAATATAATGGACAAACTCCGAAATGAAGAGAACCCAGCGACCTCATCAAATTCACAAATCATAACATCGACCGAAAAACAAAATATAACTTATAATAATTGTTCAGTGGTAAATAATTATTATTACAAATAAATTGTCTGTCATGTATCTGTTTAAAACTGTAATAATAGAAAAATGATTATTTTGATAGTTTCTTCAAAATAAAATAATTATAAAAGTGATTTTGATGAATACATTTGTATGTATGACTTTTTTGATTCGTGAAATTATCTCAATAAATACAATTCGAGCTCACAATACTATCGCAAATTCTGTCAGAAATCTTAAACTCGATCAAATTGCTTTGAGGTAACACCACGAGTCCAAGCAATTTGATCTCGTTGATTTCTGAAAGAATTACTATCGATAGTATTGCGAGCTCTCATGGTATTACCCCCGAGAGTAATTATGAATTAAGGAATTGATCTTGTAGGCTGCATGAAGTTAGGAAGTATACTAATAAAATATCGCAAGTAGATATTGAAAACACAGTATTCATTAAAATGTTTTGAAATATCTAAACCTTATGAATATCGCAGTGACCGCCATAGCTGAAATCGTTTTGATTGGTCAAAAATTTGTCCATACCGAAAGTCATGGTTATTCGAATTCTTGGTTTAATTCACACATGACAGTGACAGCTCACGTATCATTTATGTTGTGACATTTTTAGAATTGATAATAGTCATCGTATTCCAAACATTTTCCATAACTTTAAAAATTGCTTCCAGCTGTAATGAGATTCTTATAGTTTGAACTTCATTTAGTTCAAATCATGTCACATTTTTCATGGGTTGCATACCCATCGGTATACATTTTTCATGAGTTGCATACCCATCGGTATCTATATGTCTAGGTATATTGCATATCATTGACAGTTTTATCTACCTAGTTGAAGTTTCGTTATAAATTTATCATTATTTTCCTAGGTTAAGGAGTGTTACTTCTCGTTAGAGGAAATCCTTGAATAATAGAAATTTATCAGGTTAGTAGTAGAAAAAATATTATATATACCTCGGTTGAGAATGCAGAATGATATTATATAGCTCACTTCTCACCCTATGTGTGTGATATACTATTAGGATTATAGTGATAATATTTCATTCTTTGGAAATGGAACTCGTTACAGAAACAAGTGTTAAATGATAAGCTATAAATTTTTTATGGAATTTTGTTCATGAAATAATCCAGCTGTGTTGATATTATGGCGTGGCAATACGAATACAAATGTATGATTAGTGTTAATTACTCAATATCTTGTAATCCAGATTATCAGCTAATCAATTGTTTTCATGTGTTCAATAACATGAACAGTAAATGCATATTCAGAAAATTTCTCAATAAATGAGGCATGCGATAGTTCTAAAATATAGTATGTTTTTTAAATTTTCTGTCTGTAGTGAAATGTTGAAAAGTGAATATTTGCAAAATATTCATTGGTATTGTATTCATCGATTTGTGGTGTTCTTGATCTGTCAATATAGTCCAATAAATGAAGGAGGAAAAAAAAGGCAAAGTTAACGTTAGTTACGCACTATTTTCATCTTCCGGTTGGATGTAGCTTTTGGTATCTCATCAAACATGAGACAAAGTTTGACTGGAAAACACGTGCGTTGGCGGAGAAAATGGCCCCAAAAGACCAGGAAAATAGGTTTTCAGCCAATATCTCCTAAAATATGGCAGGAGATTTTCGGTTCAGATAAAAATTGAAGTTCAGTTAATTTTCTACAAAAATGGTCCTCATCATTTTTTTCGCAACATCAATATTTTCTGCAAAAAAATCGGGTTGAAAAACTAGAAATTTTGAGACTTGTGAAATATGCAAGTTTTGTACAAAATTTGAGCTGGGGGGTGTTGGAAATCCATTATTTTCAATGTTTTGGATTGTGGAAACCAATTGTAGATGGCGCCACCACATTTTACAGATTGGGAATCCTTGGTGCCATAAATGAGAAACCCTGTTACCAGACATTTTTGATGAATATTTATGTTTCCGAGGGTCTTGTTTTCTTCTCAGATGAGGCCTCAAGATATACTTATTAGGAAAACAGGCTATGAGATTAATTATAGCAGGATGGACCTCACCAGTTGGCCTAAATCTAGCAGAGTCAAAATCGTTGCACTGGAAGCCGCCATTTCTACATTTGAGAATGAAGCGTCTCCTGCACTGTTCGTGCATTTGCACAGACGTTTGTTTTTCTAAAAAAATATGATGTTTATCCTTCCTTTCCTTGCTCACATCAATCAAATTTTCTAAGCCCCGAGTTACGGTGACAGCATCCGCAGAAATGGGTTCCTTACAAAGGAAACACACTGCTGTAGCAGAGTTGACCTCCATTTTTCTATAACAAGAAAGGCAGACCAAGATTTCAATTAGAATAGTTGCTTGTAAACAAATGTTCTTGTAGGTCTTTACTTACCTCTTGTACAAAAAGTGATATACAGAGAATTCAAAAGCTGCAAAATAAGTGTATGAGAATATTACTCCAATGTGATAGACACACAAAGATTACAGATATGCTTAGGATGCTGAAATTTCTAAATGTTGAACAAATGATCGAAGAATCAAATTTAGTACTGATATACAAAATCATGCACAAACAGGCTCCTATGTATCTGCAATCTTTCCTTGTGAAAAGATCGGAAATGCATAGATATAACGTCAGGTCAAGAGAAAATTTCCATATAGCAAGATGTCATTCGAATGTTCTACAAAAATCTCTTTTCGTCCAGGGATTGCATCATTTCAACAGCCTTCCACTTATTGTCAAAGTTGCACCAAATATTAAAATTTTTAAGAATATGTTACGAAAAGTTTACTTTAAGATTTAGTATAGTTTATACGTATAGTTAATAGTTATTTCAAGAATTTATACTTTGTAAATATGTTTATAATTGTAAAAAATATGATGAGAAAACTAGCGAAAGCTGAATAAATAAATCTTTCTTCTTTCTTGAATAAAAACAACATGAACAAATTCTCACCTTTTGCTCCAATTTTACAAAATTTGAATCTTCACTTTCTATATGTTTTGGGTTGGTGATAAAAGCGAAAAACGTGAATATTTGTTCAATATTCTTCACTTTTATCACTTTTCTTTCTATAATTGACAATAATATTTATCAAAACAATGACAGAAAACAAACACAGTTATGCCTCCAAGCGTGGCCGCATGGTTTGTAGCAGACGACCCGAGCGCCACGTAGAGCACACACGCGGCGAACGACGGAGGAACGAAAGTAATAAATTATAGCGTGTACATTTAGATATACTGGTTTTTTCCCGGGATATCAAAGGTATGACTTATATACATCGATGGAAAGGTGGGAATTCCCCCGTTACACTAGTTAAGGTGTTAAAATGTTAGAAATAAAGAGCACGGAGAAAAAAACCACCGAAAAAAAAGTGCGTTTTTTCCTTGACCCCGCTTTTTCTAATTTTATTGAAAAATGGACGACTTCGTCTGAAAAAGTAATTGCACAATCGAAAAGTAGACCTTCTTAGCTTTCAAATGATGTATCATAGAAACCAATCGGATCATGTATAAATTTTTAATTGATGGTTGTTCACAAAATTTCCCCGCGCTCCAAAAACAGCAAAAAATTGGGATTCAATAAACAAAGATTAAATGAAAATTAAAAAAAATTAGGGTATACAAATTTCAGGGATGACAAACGACCTTATGAGGACCCATAATCAAGAAAATTTTGAGTAAATTAGTGCAATACCAAAAAAATTACAAACAAATTCCTGGTGAGGTCAAAATTGACAGGGAGCAGAAAGTTTGACCCATGTTCCGATATGGCCAGAGTCAAGCGTGACTCAATTCACAGGGTATGATAGCAGCAGAGTTCCTCTTTCACATGAACTTTGAATCATGAGAAAATATGCATTTTTAACAAAGTTATTGAATAATTTGTCCCCCCGTCGATGTGTAAATACACGGACTGTGCTCTCCGGCATACATTTTGCCGAAAATATTGATGTTGCAAAAAAATGATGAGGACCATTTTTGTAGAAAATTAACTGAACTTCAATTTTTATCTGAACCGAAAATCTCTAACTGCCATATTTTAGGAGATATTGGCTGAAAACTTATTTTTCTGGTCTTTTGGGGCCATTTTCTCCGCCATCGCACGCGTTTTCCAGTCAAACTTTGTCTCTTGTTTAATGAGGTACCAACAGCTACTTCCAACCGAAAGATGAAAATAGTGCGTAATCAATGTCAACTTTTTCCCTTTATTTATTGGATTAATAGGTTTTATAGGCTCAGTTACTCTAGTAATAATTCTTCTACCACTTTGACCCATATATTCAGCCTTCAATTAGGTCCCGAACTAGAGATATTGTGAACTCAAGTGGGGATTTTATCTTTAGCTTTGACAAGGGATTCAGATATAAGGGTGTCCCATAATTAACGTGCTATACTTCATCAACAGATTTTACGATAAAAAAATACGTCGAATGATGTTTCATCCACATGGCATGTGTTACTTCCTTTCAATTACCTGAGAAAAATATTGTTTTAATTTTTTTATGGACACCCTGTGTATGAGAAAATATATATTCTGCCTATTCCTAACAGAAATACAGGGCATAATTTCAATAAAGATATTTCAGGAACGTCTCGATGTTTTCGCCTGAAATACACTAACAATTTACCTCTATTCACACACCACACGAACGCCTACTATAGAAAGACTCGGAACTCATTTTCTTTTTGATAATTTAAAAAGAAAATGATTTTTTCAAGTCCGGATCTGGATTGCTTTTCATAGTAGCCATTGTGTGGTGTCAGTAGAGGTAAGTTGCTGGTGAATTTCAGGCTGTAAATTTCACTATGAAGCTGTACTCTTGAAAAACCCCTCGAATTGTACTGAAAGACACAACAATAAAATAAATTCTCCCTTCAGGTGATGGTACAACAACAACAGCAGCAGCAGCATTCCCGCCCCTCCTTTCCCACCCACCACGGCCAGTCCTCCGTCTCCACGCAAACGGCCATCAACCAGCCGCCGCCCTCCCTCACCTCCAATCCCTTCCGTCACGCCCCCGCCTCCTGCGACACGACCACCTTAAGCCCGCTGCCGACAGGGGGGCGGACTTCTAGCGGCGGGGGGCGAGGCTCGGGTGGTCGGAGCCCGCCCACCACGGCCGATACGACGACGCACGCGGGCGGCAGCACGGATGACGCGGCGTCGCCCGCCCCTTCGGTGTGCTCTGGAGGCGGGGGCAGCGAGGCGGGCGGGCAGTCGCGGCCGCAGTCGTGCACTATGGTGAGTGGAGTTTGTTTTTTGATTTATAACTGCTCAGTAAATGTTATCGCTGACATATTTTTTTTTATTTATTTATTTCAGTTATTGCATTACATTCTCTTCTTCATTGATACATTTCATACAAATAATATATAAAGTATAATTAATTTTCTAGAAGGAATGACATGAATGATCAGACAGTAATTCCTGGTATAAGATCATTCATGCTACTAATTTACAAGGTGGCTTGTTATTCCCACTTTTCATATCAGATATTTCACAACTATGCTTAATTTCTTCATAACTGTAACTAGAGGTACTTGAGCTCGGTGTTCCTTATGAATCAGAATCTCTATCGGATAATATGTCTTCTATAAAATAAAATGATTATTCACTCCATCCATTATTTCAACGTGAGTAAAGAAGATAATAAGGATGGTGAAAATAAAAACCAACAAAATAAGACATTGAAAATCGAAAGATCATAGGTTATGGTTATGTTTTGCTGCCAGTTTACTAGTACTGCCAAAATCGTTCCGAAATGAAATGAAAATTCAAAGCTACTGCTACTGTTTAGTGTTCCTAAATTGCTTTTTGTGACCAGTTATGTCAGCAATATAGGAATATGACCATTGTATCCTACCCAAGTAACATTTTGAATACCTGAAAGCACCAATGAGAAATAAAAAGTCTAACCACTCTATACGTTTTATGAACGCTTCTGAAATGACTGATTGATCTTCTGGGCTATTTAATCTTATCAAAAGATTTTGAGATACTATGATTAAGCTAGTGCATAGAATTATTACTGTTTGGCATTCAGATCCACTCAGTATTAGAAGAGCTTTGTGGAAGTCTTTGAAATTCCTAATCAAAGATATTTAGAAAAGATAGTTGTCACAAGCGAACGGCAGCTCTTCGTCGGTATGCACTAGGTGTGAGTGTGGTTAGATTTTTCAGTCCAAAAAAAAGTTACATAATATTCAAATTACTGGAATAAAACTCTAGAAGGGACGCCACAGTCACTTTCAAACAGAGAAAGAATTCTTTATTACTTGGGTAGTTGTGCAACCAAATGATACTCTACAGGGTGTTGACCAGCTAAAATAGACAAAAAAATTATGCTGAAAGTGACGATGAGAGCAGCGTACCAAGACTAATGAAAAATAAAATTCAACTAAAAACAAACAGGTTTATTTCTCCATTATGGCGCAGGGTGTAAATATTAAATATGGAAATCAAATTGATTACAGGTTCAGATCAATGTAGGTATCTCATAAATGTAAAATCAAAATATTGAGATGGAAATAGGTACTTCAATAACTGATAATATATGCAAAGTTGTTGATTTTATCAGGGATTCCGCCGCATTATAGTACTTTAAGTTGAGGTTTGAGTGTTGGTGAGATGTCATGAATTCTTCAAACCAAAGGGATATGAAATATTGATGTTATGAAGAATTGATATGAAAACACTCTGGCCTGCTTTTGATGATCCTGTGCTACACTATGGGGAATGAAGGTGGTAGGCTTCTCGTAATCAGGCCTTCTCAAGCAGATGGTGGGTAGCTCGGAGATAGTGGGAATATATGCAAAGTTGTTGATTTTATCAGGGATTCCGCCACATTATAGTACTTTAAGTTGAGGTTTGAGTGTTGGTGAGATGTCATGAATTCTTCAAACCAAAGGGATATGAAATATTGATGTTATGAAGAATTGCTATGAAAACACTCTGGCCTGCTTTTGATGATCCTGTGCTGTAACCTCTGCTACACTATGGGGAATGAAGGTGGTAGGCTTCTCGTAATCAGGCCTTCTCAAGCAGATGGTGGGTAGCTCGGAGATAGTGGGAACCTCTAGATGTGAGTACTCCCCGTAGACAGCTCGACTGCACTGCTGGCTGGAACCAGTCAAAAGGTGGATGTCCCTCCTCTTTGTGGACAGGAACCAAATATCTTGAAGGAAAAGGAAATTAAATTTTCAGGCAGAGAATAAAATGGATCTAGTGATATTTCGATCGGAAATGATGATTTTTCACATTTTCCAACGACACGAGGCTTCCTAGTTTCATGAAAAGCTTTAAGAGAAGCTGTGACAGCTCTTATAAAAGTGGGCCCTTCATGTTTTAAGGAGGTTGTTTCATTGTTTTAATGATTTCATTAGAGCCTGATAGTTTTGATAAGGAATTTTGATATAAGCTGTGACACTCTTGTAGCTTCTGATCAAACTTAGGAAAGAAACACATGCAACTGTATTCGTTTATATGAACCGTTGTATAGTTTTCGGTAGGATGTAATTCAATGCTGCGTCGTATAGGTATGCATCTAAGACTAATGCAATCATTTTTGGAAGTGAAGCTGAGTCGCAAGAGTTTGAGCAAGAATACTCATCAAATATTATAATGAATGGTAATTCTATACAAATTAGTGAGAAAGTAAAGACAATTGGGAGTTTGGTTTGATGAGAACTGGATATTCTCGCACCATATTAGTAACTGCTTACAAAAAGCCTATGGAGCTCTAAAACTCATATTTCAATCTCGCCATGTTTTGGATAGATCAGTTGAAATCCTACTGTGTGAGTCACTTGTATTATCTAAATTAAACTTCTGTGAAATTATTTATAATTCCGCTTTGAATTCATTAGATGTGAATAGAATACAAAAATTACAAAACTCATGCCTAAGACTAATTTTTGGTATTCGCAAATTCGAACATATCAGTCATACATTCAGAATTACTAAATGGTTACATATGAAAAATCGTCGAGAATCGCATAAGCTAGTAAAGGAACACTCTCCACCTTATCTGTATCATAAAATAACATTCAGAACTGATGTACATTCTCTTAATTCAAGACATAGAATACTCTTACTATACCTCGTCACCATACTGAGTCATTCAAACGATCGTTTTCTTACTGTATTGCTAACCGTCTCAATAACTTACCCCACGATTTCACTTGCTCATCACTTCATACACTTAAACGAGTTCTTTTTGACTACTATTCATCTGAGCAATAATTAAGATTTTCGTATTAACATGTATTACCTTGGTCAAGTGCTAGACTATATCATCCTTATATCCTTATATAAATATATGTCCGAAAGTTATTCGTTTATTCTGAGATACAGAGTGTCAAAGTTCAATTCGTATTTTTGTTTCTTGTTAATAAATTTCAAAATAAATGTGATATCCGAATGAAGTTTGGGTAGGGGTATTTTCCAATGGGAATATCAAATGTAATGTTAGTTTGTCTCTTTCGTGGAAGTGGCGCCACCTACATGTCTTTTGAGTCTTCTGAATAGTCATAACTTTTTGTGCATACCTGTATCACGTTTTATAGTAGAAAAATAGATTTCTAGAACACTTTTGTGTGAAAAATATATTCCCGGCAGAGGACGCTGCGAGCAACAGTGTTCGAGTTATTGGGATTTGAAATAATCGATACATTTGAATTATTTTTCTGTGGGGTCTCTTGAAGGCCTTAGTTTATACGGTGCCAATAGAAAGCGAAGATCAACTTCGTCAACGGATCTATGCTGGATGTGACGTTATACAAAAGCAGACGCATGCATAATGATACAAGGTGGCCACTTTGAACAATTACTTCAATCAATTCCCTCAACTAACTGTTAAAGTATTAATTTTGTCTTAAGTACTGTTATTATTACTAGTATTAAATTGTAATAACACGCGATTCCTATTTTGAAATGAAATTAAAGAAAAATAATTTCCCTTACTTAGTAAATCAATTTTGAATTCCAACTTCTTGTCATTCCAAATTCCATTGATTCTTTGAAATCCGAATAACTCGAAAACAGTTGCTCGCAGCCACCTCTACCAAGAATATATTTTTCACACAAAGATGTTTTAGAAATCTGTCTTCCTACTATAAAACGTGATACAGGTACGCACAAAAAAAGTTATGACTTTACAAAAGACTCAAGAGATATGTAGGTGGCGCCATCCCCACGGAAGAGACGAACTAACATAAAATTTGATATTGTCATTGAAAAATACCCCAATATACCAAACTGCATTCGAATATCACAATCATTTTGAAATTTATTGACAAAAAACAATAATGAGAATTCAACTTTGACACAATTATTATTATTATGGCCAGGAAAATACCTGTTTTTCTCTTGTTATCTACCATTTTGGTTTATTCAATAAACTTTTGTGGTAATGACTTTGAGTTTCTCCCACTTTGTAAAAACTGATTACGTTATGTGGGTTCACTACCTTCCAGGCGATGGTCCACTGCGTGTCGAGCAGCGAGCCCGATTCGGCAGACCTGCTCGCCGTCCACCACCAGCCGGACGGCGAGTGGCGGCGCGCGATGCAGGGCAAGGCGCTCTACGACGCGTCGCCCTTCGACCGACGGACGGCCGCCGCGGGCGGCTCCTACTCCGACGAGGCGACGGTGGTCGAGGTGGGGGGATTCCACTACGTTGCGGAACAGGTATTGTGAAAAATAATCGTAAAATTTGTACAGTACAGTATAACAATTTAATAGATTCGTAAACTCTACCCACTAAACATGAAAACATAACAGCTGATGAAGGTAGTCTGACGTGCTTGGCTTTACTAGACTACAGTAAAGCCTTCGACACTCTCGATCATGAAATTTTATGCAATAAACTTAGTTTCTACGGCTTCTCTGTGGACGCAGTAACACTCGTGAGGAATTATCTTTCGAACAGGTCACAGAGGGTCCTAATCGATGGTATCTTCTCAGAAGATTTACCTCTCTGCAAGGGCGTCCCACAGGGCTCAATCCTTGGACCGTTACTTTCTAGTCTCTACATATGCGATTTTCACCAATCAATCAAAAAGAGCAATATTCACCACTACGCAGACGATACCCAGTTATATTTTTCTTTTCGTTTTCAGGATTTTGACTCTGCCCAGCTTGCCATTAATCGCGATCTCCAAGCGTTATTCGATATTTCTTCGGCACATAAGTTGAAACTCAACTCGAAAAAATCCGCAGTAATGTTATTTGGACCGAAAAAAATTAGAAATGAAACTCATAATTTGTTGGACATTCGAATTAACGATGATATACTACCTGTAGTTTCCGAAATTAAAAATCTAGGCCTGTGGCTCGATTCTGAACTTCGTTTCACAAAGCATGTGAACTTCCTTAGTCAGTTCCATCAATGGTATTCCTCACTGCAGCCATGGTATTCACAATGAAAATGCATAAAATGATGTATGTGTGACAAAGTGTTTTTGCGCCTTCTTCATTACTAGACTGGTTTTGAATGATATCTAAGTAGATAGAACATATTTGACATGAATTTCACTTGTTGGACATCTCGAAACCTGAGAACCTGATAGATCTGAGTAATTCTTAATTCCTGATTTTTAAAAGTTTTCCCTGATAGTAAACTCAAATAAACATCATTACAACCCTAAAGACTTTAAATTTTCTAAACCTATGATATGAAATTTGGATGAAATATTTATCAGTTGAAATTCTGGATGTTTACCTAGTCATAACTTTTATGTTATTGGATATTTCAGTCAAATTTATTCAGTAGCCTAAGCAAGGGTGGTAGATTCTGTTCCTGTACCCATTTAGGGTTAAATATATTTTTTCGCATTTTTGTGGGTTAAAGAATATATGCTTTGGACGCTAGTTCCTGCAGGCATAGTTGAGTATTCCGACCAATCAGAATCTAGGATTGAGCTACCCTTACATCGAGGCTGATGTGGAGTATAAATAAGGAAGTCAGCTAAGGAATCTCTTCCTTCTCTCGTGGTACTCTTGCTGACATTGCTCTTTTGTTGATCTCTTAGTGCTCTCATTTCTCTCATTTTCCGAAAAGTACAATACTTCATCTCATTCAGATCAAATTCGATTTTTTATATACCTCTGTTATAATAGTTTCTTTCTTAAGTTTAATTTTTTTATTTGTTTTGTATTTTTATTTTTCATTTTTTACTCTTTGTTCTTGTTTTATATTTATGCTCAAATCTCATAAGTACCTTTACAACTGTATTTTGTGATATTTGTCAGTGTTTTTGAATTGAGAATCAGGAATATTATTTTTTTTGTATGATAATGTTTATTTTTTTTGTTTCTATTTTGTTGGATTACTTTTCTGTTTACTAAAAGTACATCATATTTTGAAGTCATAAATTTATTTTTTTATCCTCTCTTGGAATTCGTATAGCATATAATAGATACTGAATAGATCTATTGAAATCTACTGAATTTTTGACGAGATATTCACTACAGGGTGTCCCAGAACAACGTACATTAAATTCAACAGGGTGAACTAGAGTTCAAAATAGGTCGATTGGGACCAACTTACCTCTATACGAAAATGCACCGTTGGGCCGTGAGAGGGCGATGAATGGATTCTTTTTTCAGATTTTATTGAATATTTAAAAATCCTTGAGAGGTAATGATCTGCAATTTGAAAGTCAATCAACCATAAGAAGTGTGCATAGATAACAGGTCTCATCAGTTCAATCGATATACAGGAAGATACAAATTTAGCATTCTGATTGGAGAAAATCCGTAGAACTTTTTTTGAGTACGCCACTGACCATATTTCAATATCTACTTGAATAACAAAATCAATTATCTATCTGTTTTCTCACCACATTTCTTTCTAAATGTTGCTTGGTTTATGAGATATCTGGAAAAATTCTTTCAGAGTCCCTCCATATCATCCCTAGTCCTAGAGTTATCGTGTTCTGCAGGTTTCTTCCTCCTTCATGTTGATATTTTGGTAACGTATTCATGTTAGTTATTTAATAACCTTTTCATCATACAGGATGGCCCATTTTCAACTTGACAGGGAGATTTTGGGTGATGATAGCGGAGATACGAAAAATTGCTCAGATCGGTCGATTTTAGTTTGCACCTCCTGCTAACAATCAAAGTCGTTTGCACGTTTTTTTCGTTCTCTTGAGAGTTCGGGGGCACAGATATCATATTCATTTTAGCAAGCTCTTCATCAGAAGAGTTCATCAAATCAATAATTGAAAAATAAACTGGATCTCAGAGACAAAGAATAATAATAATAATATATCGAAGACTGGAACCTTTGGCACGATAATACACTACACTGTTTTACCACTAACCAAACCGATTTTTCAACGCCTCGACACGTGTTTCGCTAACTATGTTAGCATCTTCAGGAGGAGATTAAAACTAAATATCCTTTTCTAGTGTGCTGCTTATATACTAGGTATATGTTCACCCAACTGTGAAAAATACTAACCGTCAAGTTAATGTTTGTCATGGTTGAGTTCACATGTTAATCTTAATTTTTATTTTACTAAACTATATATGTAATAGGTCCATTATCCTTATTCATTACTCTATTACTATTCTTAAATATCTCTAAGCTTTCATATGCGTCTAGTTTTCTAATGTTATTAACTTGCTTAACCAATTTGAGGTTAGTAATATGTGTGTTATGATTGTGATTGAACATATGTTCGGCCACACAAGATTCATCTAACCTGCCATATTTTGAATGGGCTATGTGTTCTTTGAACCTTGTTTTTATGGGTCGCCTGGTTTGGCCTATATATGTTTTATCACAATCATTACAACTTATTTCGTATATTCCCGACTTTTCAAGTGTGTCCACTTTATCTTTCGGATTGCCTAATAAATTGCCTAATTTTGACCCAGACTGATAAACGCTTTCAAAACCTAAGTCTTTGAAAACCTTATCAAGTCCCTTCGTATACTTGGGATTGTACGGGATTGGGATTCTTCTAGAGTTCTTTTTATCCGCTTGAAAAGTCGTAGAATATCGAAGTGTTAACTTGAATTTATGTCTACGTATTAATTTATCTACTATTTTGATATCATACCCATTGACGCCAGCCAAATCAAAGGATATTTAGTATTAATCTTCTCCTGAAGATGCTAACATAGTTAGCGAAACACGTGTCGAGGCGTTAAAAAATCGGTTTGGTTAGTGGTAAAACAGTGTAGTGTATAATAATAATAAATAATAATAGGAATAATAATTATTTTCTATTCATCCTTCTTCGAATCAGAATCACTACACAGATTCAATACAGAAGGTATCCAAAATAGTTGCTCCTCCATAAATATCAAACAAGTAGGAAGTATGTTCGGAAAGTTGATAATCAATAATCATCAATTATCAAACAGAAAACATGTTTTTATTGAATAATGAATAAATAATCGATAACTATTGCAACAGTCAAGAAAACAAAAAAAGAAAACGAGAATAATGATGGTATCAATCGAGCAAATGCTGGAAATGTCTCGCATCATTCTCCAAACATAAACGAGCTCTTTTCACGCAGTGGAATCGTATTTTCTGAAATATTCTTGCAATATTGCTAAACTTATCAGCTGCTGTAAAAATTCTTTCTCTCAGCTCTTCCACTCTATTGCTGTTAGAATAATGTTGGTTGGTCTTGATCAGCCATTATTAGTTGATATATTTCACAGTTCACACTGAGAATTGAACAATCAATTACAATGATTAGGCTGACAGTGACATATGGGATGAAAATAATAATGAAACTAGACAATTGATATTCTTCGTTTTCGTACATTTTTTGTACGAACCGCTTGATGGGTTTCTTACTAAGCAATGATAGAGCAGAAAAAGTAGTTGATATGATATGGTATCTGTGCCCCCGAACTCTCAACAGAACGAAAAAAACCTGCAAACGACTTTGATTGTTAGCAGGAGGTGCAAACTAAAATCGACTGATCTGAGCATTTTTTCGTATCTACGCTATTATCACCCAAAATCTCCCTGTCAAGTTGAAAATGGGCCATCCTGTATGATGAAAAGATTATTAAATAATTAACATGAATACGTGACCAAAATATCAACATGAAGGAGGAAGAAACCTGCAGAACACAATAACTCTGATATCTTGGACTTTGGATGATATGGAGGGACTCCGAAAGAATTTTTTCAGATATCTCGTAAACCAAGCAAAATTTAGAAAGAAATGTGGTGAGAAAAAATATAGATAATTGATTTTGTTATTCAAGTAGATATTGAAATATGGTCAGTGGCCTACTCAAAAAAAGTTCTACGGATTTTCTCCAATCAGAATGCTAAATTTGTATCTTCCTGTATACCGATTGAACTGATGAGACCTGTTATCTATGCACACTTCTTATGGTTGACAAGGATTTTGAAATATTCAATAAAATCTGAAAAAAAATTCCATTCATCGCCCTCTCACGGCCCAACGGTGCATTTTCGTATAGAGATAAGTTGGTCCCAATCGACCTATTTTGAACTCTAGTTCACCCTGTTGAATTTAATGTACGTTGTTCTGGGACACCCTGTATATCGGAGACTGGAACCTTGGCACGATAATACACTACACACTGTTTTACCACTAACCAAACCGATTTTTTACATCTCGACGCGAGTTTTGATAACTTCAGGAGAAGTTTGAATCAGTTTGGTTAGTGGTAAAACAGTGAGTAGTGAAGGTATTCACTGATGAGAATAAAAATCGAACTGGCAACCCTGGTCCGCGCGGAGAGTGAGTTTTTTTTATCGCTTGGAGCGCACGAATGGAAATCCCTATAATGTTCAAAGAACAACAACTGTCATTTGCTGTTGTCAAATCAATTATTCACGAAATCCGATAGATGTCAAATGTGAATAAGACCGTGATGTGAATATAAGTGTTTGAGGTCGACGAATAAATGTAATATTATTATATTATATTGAAAATTAATATTCGATTATAAACTTCGATTCAAAGAACATGTCAAGCATATGTTGAAGAAATGCTATTCTAATTTGAAAATGATTTACCCTTTTAGGCACTCTCTTGAACAAGATATCAAAAAAATGCTTTGTGAGTCATTGGTGTTATCCCAGCTCAATTACTGCGATACTGTCTACGGACCTTGCTTAGATGTTGTTGATATAAAACGCATTCAAAAAGTTCAGAATTCCTGCTTAAGACTCATTTTTGGTATCACCAGACGAAATAGGATTTCTCATAAATTAAAAGTTGTTAATTGGCTGAACATGCTTAACAGACGTAAATTGCACATGGTTAGCAGCTACTACAAAGTGCTAAAAACAAAAAAGCCGGAATACCTGTATAATAAAATCTCTTTCAGAAGTGATATTCATAACTTGAATATTCGTCACTCTAGTCTTATTACTGTGCCTAGACATAGGAAAGAAATTTATAAAAGAAGTTTCTCTTACAACATCGCCAATCTTATTAATGCTCATCGTGTCACAGATTTCAGTCGTTCGCTTAAATCATTTAAAAGTATGGTAACGAAACAATTGCTTCAACTCCAGAATTTCTGATTCATTTCTGGTAACAATATATTATGAGATTGAATCGTTTCTATTTATTTTCAGTGATCCTCCTGCTGTGCATACTTGTCTCTTTCCTTCTTTTCCCTCTTCTTTTCCTCTCTCACTATTCTTCTTAACTCATCATATACTATACTAATGCTCTTAGGTTCTTAAGCCGTTAGATTTATAGTTTCTTGTTAGGATTAGGTCTGGCCAGAATGGAAGAACAGTTTTAATCTACTTGGTAGAATGTAACTGAACTCTGGCCATTTATTCGCCACATTAAGTATGCTCTACCTACAACCTTATACTTGTCATTGTTTTTGGGGAATAATAAACGTATTATTATTATTATCATTATTATTATACTTCGGTAAACAACTATCAATTGTCTCGCCTGATTGCTAGCTTCGGCTATTTGCAGACTGGACTATAATAGACAGTGTTTTGTCCTTGTTACATAAATAACTATTTGAGCTATGGTTATGCTAGGTTTACATGAATGAGGGCAATAAATTCGCCAATATGGTAATAAATTAGTACTAAATTAGTAACAAATTATAGCACTATTGCAAATATGAAATATTGAAGCGGTTCTGCTAACTTCATTGGGTCTAATTTGATTTTCGAATTCGGTTTCAGATGAAGTCCCAGGAGGTGGTGAGTTCGAGAAACTACGAGAAGATGATCCACCACAAGCGAAAGAGTGGAGATGAGAGCATGGTGATGGAGGTCCATCACGGACATACTTCTTTGTTCCATGATGACGATGAAGGTATGTGCGGTGAATGTGGTGGCTTTAATGAATCATGCAAATTTTCTTCTTTTGACTAATTATTCGCGAAAAACAAAGACCAGACATGCATGGATGTCAAAGTTTTGACAATCTTGTATTGAAAAAATAATGAATTCAGATATGAATTGTTTCAAGTCTCTTTTATCAAACAACTTTTTTTTATATCTCTGAGGACCAAAAATTTTGAAGGGAGGTTAAGAGAGATAATAAAACAGGGTACAACATTTTACGCTCTCAACACTCGGTATCTTGAAAGCTAATCATGATATTGAAACTGAATACAGCGTGGAGTGAAAATGTTTAATGTTTTTCGAATGGAACAACCTATACTTCATTAGTCATCTCAATAGTGCAATTTTTTCTGATATCAAAAATATAAAATTTCCATATGTGAGTGATTCTGGATAAATCGAGAGTATAAAACTCCATATTAATTGGAGTTTGTGTCATGAAATCATCTAACTAAATCCATGTTGGCTGAATAATCATCAGGATTATTGAAAATGTCGAATTTCAGCTCAATGACAGCAAATTTGGACTCAATAAGATGATTACATGAACACAATACTGCCCTGATAAGCAATACCCCCGTGAAAGTGAAAAATGTTGTACCAAGATGAATCAGTATTGTTTCCATAGCTCCTGCCAGCTAGTTAGTTCTCTTAGGATTCAAACCTCCTTCTTGTGTTACAAACAAATATATACATTGTATATTTCATGGAGCCAATAACAAATTGATGTATTCACTATTTTTTTTAGTAAAAAACCAGGAATCGTGTTCTTTCTTGCCTAGTTTCAAGACTGAGATAGTATTAGGATTATTATGCAAAACAACAGTAAAGTCTTTTACCGAGTTTCTGTATAGTATGAAGATTTTCTTCTGAAGTTTCTATCATCTTGAATGGTTTTTGAGATATCAAGTGTTGAACATTTGAAATCAAAAGTTGCAGATCAAAAAATTGACATCACAGGTCGCATGTTTGTTTTATGATTTTCGTGAATACTCTCGAGTCAACATTTTCACTCATGTTTTCTATGACAATATTTTCCATAATCAAAAACAGGATACTTGCAGTTGCTAAACATCAATCTTAAGTGACATCATTAACTCGTAATCCCATACTGTTATTTTGATTTAACTGTATCCAGATGACAATTGAAAAGTTAATATCAACAGTCTCCGTCCATTAAATTTGTTTTTGCACTTCAGGGATTCAAAGGGTACTTTGAATTTTCAGGGAAAGAAGTGGTACTTTGAATTCCTAGGGATTTTCCCAACATTGAGATCACCATAGTCACTGAGGTAGTTGATATGGTAACAATCAGCCCCTTAGATGACGTTTCAGAAATAGAGTACCTACCGTTTAGAGTGGCATTTGATATATTTTTTTGTTATTTTGAACATTATACTTATCCTAAAGTGCATGAAATAGTATATTCACCTCAGGACTAAAGTGTTTTTGAATCACTCGACAAATAACTTTTTGTCTCTGGATTTAAAATACCACTTTAGTTCCTAGGTGTATAATGTACTATTAACGGCCGGCGGCCGATATAATATACTTGTGATATTGTCAGGCTGATTCATGACAACACGATGTTGGGATTGTTCTGTAGAACTACGTTTTTTCCTCGGAATCAAAATGTATTCTTTCAGCGGGATATGTAGCGAGTACCGGAATCGGTTGTTATACAATATTCGGCTACGCCTCGGATTACAATATTCAACCTAATCTGTTATTCGCTACATATCAGCCTTGTAAAGTTAATAACAACTATTGTAAGAGTTTCTATCTTGTTTGAATGTCAAGTCAAACTCAACTACTTAATATCTTGCTGATTTTGGAACGTATTCATCATTATATACAGGAAACTTGTGGAATTTGCCATACAATTATGAGGCATTTGCCAATGTCTGAGGGATATTCGGCGGAAAATAATCCGAAGTTGTCAAAGTCGATCGTGTTTTCATAGTGATTAATAATCGCACTGAATACAGTTATCAAAATTTATTTTCTGGCCAAAGGTTCCAGTCTTCAATATACACTGTCGTCATAAACTTAATTTGCAAAATTCAATATTCTATACAGAATATGTTGTTTTGCAGAATATTGTATGAAAATCGTTGAAAATGTTGACACTGAGCGGGTTTTTCTTCAATAACTCATTTTGCTTTGTATTGGTAGTTTTTTTGTAAATGTATAGAATTATTAGGCACCAAGAAATCTTTTCATTGTTTTTTCAACTCATTGAATGAGTTACTCTAAAATACCAAAGTGTCCTACCCAAAAGCAACTGAGTAATTATCATCCTTAGTAGAACTGGAGACATAAAATAAAGATTAGCGGACTCTATAGTATCTTTTGGGATATTCGAGAGTTGAAGTAATCACTGTACGTAGACCTCCACGTAGACGTTAACGTACGAAAAATAACGTTTACGTATTGTCGTTAAACTGAGTTGAAGTCGCCACTTTGGTCTTCACTGTCATCATAACGTAATAATACATTTTGTTTTCGGTTTGTATTGGTCATTTTTGGTTGTGTGTTTAGATTCGAACATTTATTCCTGTCAAAATTAGAGGACTCCTTGATGCAGAACTCGTTGGTGATCTCGAATTTGATAATTTTGACTCATCGGCATATTTCGAGTATAGTTTGGTTAACGTACGTTGATATTTAAGGTATACGTGAAGGTACGTGAGATAACGTACACCCGTAAGCCCACTAACAACGCAAACGTGAAGAATTGGAAAATGCGCATGCGTAGCTGTCAATTTCTACGTTTACGTTAACGTTCATGACAACACTTCAACTCTCTATACTCCAAAAGTTACAAGCAAGCGTGATTGTCCATATTGGTGATATCATTGGATTGGAACATACTTAACTTATTTTACTTTATGTATCTTACTTTCCTCTGGCTGTCCCTCCTCCCAATAGTAATTTGGTTCTTCAATGTTTGTAAGAAACACTAAACACCATTTCACTGTATACATTTGGGTGACATTAGGGAGTTTGCTAGATGCACCTTATCTTACATAATACGAACCTAGTTTATTCCTTCTGAATACTTTCAGTTGAAGATAATGAAAATAATAGAATAAACTGAAATAATTTGATGACTGGTGAGATTGCAAATTCTTTTTCTTATTATTATTATATCACCTCTTCGGTGGAAGTGTATTCTTGCAATAGGTGTATCACGTCATCAAGAGTGAGCGTTTTTGAGAAGTACCAATTTTTATAGAAAAAAAAATTGTGATAATTTTAAATAAATGATTGCATCAACGATACTATAGAGTCGATTAATCTTTTCTTTTGCCGAAATACGCCTTGAATAGTTTTGTATACTGAGTAACTCTGAGAAATCTTTATGAACAGTTTTTTTGGTGCCCGTTTTGTTTGTTGGATTGATTGTTGTGGTTATGGTTTGCCTGCATTTAATTTCTTCATCACATCATAGGTTATTATTAATATGCGTAATTGTTGAGAATATTCTCTTTATCCAAATGAATGAAAAATCTGTACTCTACTGCTTGATATTTAGTTGCATTATCAATACATAATAATATTGTTTATCATACTAGCTCCATTGTAAATTGTAAACCAAATAATAAAATTCCAATCAAACTTGTGTAAACTGTAATTATCATTTCATTGCAATTTTCAAAACAATATATTGACACTCTATTGCTTAGATTTCCTGCTCATTCAGGTTTTCGTACACCTTGTGGGGCTTGCTTTCACATTGGTTTCTCTGCTTCAATTGGTCTCTTCATCCCTTGGAGACCAACCCTGTAGAAAGTGTCAAATAACTTTAGATTTGATTATGAGGTTAGATATGGAGGCTTTGCTCAACACTGTAAAACTCCTGTATTTTTTCAAGTATTGAGTGTTTTTATTTTGATAGTTTCTTATAGACTTCAAGAACATGTGATTTTTTGATATTTGGGCACTCGATATTTTGTGCTCTGAAGGTAGGCAGTTTCAGAAATATTTCTTGGGCATACATCTGTCCCAATCGAAATGTTGGGGTTTTTGGAGCATGCAATTCTAAAACCATGCTAGTATCGCAAAAAATTAAGAATATTTAGTCTAAATTTTCAATATACCAAGTTATCAAAGTTCCGATCTGGAATTTTTTCAACTATTCATACATTTGTTGTCTGTCAAAGCCGTAAGTGCCAAATGGATGAATTCATTTTTGCTAGAATACTGAACACTATGAATCGTGAAGTTATAATAGGCAATTTGGATGTGCCTTGATGTCAACTGGATTCCATTGTGTTCGTTTTGTGATGAAATACCTTGTACATATAACTTTGTCCCGCCCAACATCATTCAGTTATGGACCACTATTGCAATTAAGCTGGCGATATCAAACATTTTAGGTTTATCATGATGACTCATGTAATTTCATAGGTATGGATATTGAGTGCTGAGGCTCAGATAATCATTTTCATTATCTACAAATTGTTCAGTTGCTAACTAACCATGATGGTGTGTCAGGTCTGGTCGTCTGGTGTCTATATGTATATAAAATTTCCTTCACGCAAATTCATTTTCACAACTGGCACTGGCAAGGGGCTTCGCTTTAAAAAACATAAACATGTTGCGTTCTACGGCTCGTTAAATGGATCATTTACTATTTATTATTATATGTCAAAATACAAACCCAAACCGACATTATAGGGATTCCCTTTCGTGCGCTCCAAGCGATAAAAAAAAAGGTCTATGCTATTGTCAATATTCCTCAAATTTTGCTGGATAGCCCCAAAAAATAATTTCCAGACACGGTGTGGTGTGTCCTGTTTTGGATTTTTACTTTTAATGAGCAACTACACGAGCAACTTTAACCTTATAAACAGAGACAATATTATGACCCCACGTTCCAGAAGTGTGATCTGGTGGAAAATCAAAACATGTTAGCCCCCATTGCAGATAAAAGACATATCAAAGGAACTGTTTCAATCCAAA